CGTGACCTGTCCCAATGACTGATTTGTCTTGCTGAGTAATAGTCAACAATCTTGATATTCCTTTTTAATCTTGTAAATTGGTTATTTCTCAGGTCTACTATGGTTTGTATATTTCACTCAAGATATCCCAAATCACATTTGAGGCAGATTTTCTTGTTTTCGCTCCAGGGATGATTTCAAGGGCTGTAATAAGCAGGTAGTGTTTGTTCGATTAAGCATTGAGGGTGGTTATTGGTAAACACTGAGGAATATGATTTGTTATGCAATACCCACACCATTCTCAGCATTATTTAAGCCTTGATCTGCTGGTTCTTATTAGATTCAAGTCTGGTATTTGTTTCCACAACGTTTACGTATTTATATTGTGCATTAACACTTTAACTGTCAAATTGGTTTTTTCACCTTATCAACAGGGATCATACACATGAGAACTAATGACATGATGAATATACCTATCGCACTTCATGTTTGAACTTTTTGATGATAAAGTTGGAATTTTTCATACTGCTTTTATGTACTGTAACAAAGATTTTCATTTATCCACCCATCTAAGTAGTTAGTCTTCTAACTTACTGTTGAAATAATTGATTGTTAGTACTGTTTGTCACTTTGTCAACACTAGAATGTGGTAGAAATGTGACGAGGAGGATTTGGTGTATAAAACCACCTACTATATCCTTATGTTTAAGAATTCACTATTCCATACTGTTGTAAAGAAAAGATATCGGATTTACCTGATAGGTGTTACAAAGGTGAACTGACTTGTATTTACTTGGATTTATTGGTAGAAATCTCATAGTGTTTTGCTTGAAAAATCCCAATGTGACAAACATATTCACAAGATTTAAACAAAGAACCAAACAACTATCAACCATGGTAATAAAATCAAACAAAATACATTCGAATGAACAGAGAATACTCTTTTCAGTAACTTTTTCATGTCCTGCAGTTATGTGTCCATACTGTGTAATTTTATATTAATAGTAGTGAGATTTCCTATATCAGTTCATTAATAATACTATACAGTACGGAAACTGTCTTCAGGAAAGTTTTGTGTGAAGGGTGATGTTAAAATCAACTATTGCTGCAATTCATTTAAAATAATTAATTGAATAAACTACTTTACTGCTTGTGTAACACTATAAGATGAAGATGAACCAAATTTACACCGATGGTGAAGTTATACAAATAAACCTTACCTTATGTAGAAGGGGAATGAATCTGTGGGGGAGTTGTGAATATTAAATCAAATGGACAAAGATTGTCTGATAAAAACAATGGATGAATGTGTGTGAAAGTGGGATGCGATAAGCAAAAATAGATAATTTGAGGAATACTAACTTAGCAAAATATTACTCATTTTAGGGGACGAAATAAGTTGTTATTTTGATAAAATCATTTCATATTATACAGATGAGATATCTACGATGTGAAAGTTGAAAATTAGAGTGCATGAGATAGGATGCTTAAAATGTTGTCAATCTCGAACGAGGCCAAATTAACGCGAACACCTGCTTTTTCTGAGCACATAACGAGTTATTTAATCCTGCATTTTGAAGGAGCCTGGTGCCTTTTGGCAAGTTGACGGGAATTTACCGTATGGCTTATTTGAATTAAGTGTGCTAATATAAAACGGTTAATAGTCTATATTCCACATTTGCTTAACCAGGCTGATACGTGTTTGCGAGTACGCAAAATTGAATTCCTCGAGTATTGGCCAATGCTACTGGCTCCACAGGAGCAGTGGAACTGATAAGTATAAGAAGAAGTCATTCCTATAGGCAGTTCACCTTTCATTTTAGGTGACATCATGGGGTGTGTCGAAAACCTGATTTGTAATTTACCCACACTAAAATCCTTTTAATTGGTCTACATAGGTTATGAATTAATGCCACGCTAGACACACCACCCCTGGATGTATAGAGGTTTTCTGCTAGCCATCGATATGTATTTTTCTGCTATTTTTGCAATACTGTATGAATTTATGTATGAATTTATCAGAATAACCATTTCCATTTATTATTGCACAAAGTCATCAATGCCTCCTCAATTGGATCCTCCAAAAATATAGGCTTTATTCTACAACTTAGTCTTTGTCAAATTTCGTTTGTACTGAGGGGGGGCGAGGCTAAGAGAATATGCATACTACTCCATCCACGTAGTAATGACTCTGAAAACCAAAGGATAACTGTCTAAACATTTCAGCGCTCAGAATATACATTTCAGGAATGTGGTTGCTGCTCATAATTGCCTTCATTGTCGTATAACCAAGATTTACGCTGTACACATCGACAATAAAATCCTCCTATAGACTAGTAATCAACTAACAAGTCTTTGTATGTGGAACTGTGACAGAGTCTTGTCTATTAGGTTTTACAGAATAATCAAGTAACCAGCCAGAGCAGGACATTATGCACACCTTCAATCTCACAGCACTTGTGGTACGATATTTAATGAATCTACTGAGGAACAATGTCAGCGAACTTAAGTCAATATTGAAGTCTGAACAGCACAACATACTTTTTTACCTGTTGATCGATTGGTACGCTTAGCAACTTTTATAAGAATGTACTGTATTGTGTTGCTTTTCAGGTGACGGTAGTGCATTTAACATGTTAACAGTTTTGGTACACAAAAAAATACTTGCATAGTAGACATGGAGGGAACGAAATATATTAGAGTGAGAATTCCGATGAAAGATCGGACACAGAATTTCTCAGTGACCAGAGATATGGTGTTACTTATGCTATTCAGTCGCTGGTTGGACCTAACTGATAGGTCTCTATTGACATATGAGCTCCTATGCGGATGCCTCGATATTACTTGTATTTTCAGTTGTGATATTAATAATAGATGATGGCTAGCAGTGGAATCCAGGACGCGCGTTTCGTCCTATCTGGGACTCATCAGCTGGATTTGCCTACCTTCCGTTGAACGATGTTGTTTCAACTAAGACTCGAGGCCTAGACCGGTCACTTCAAACGCCAGAGCGTTATCCACTTGTTCTGGATTCCACTGCTAGCCACTATCCATTTTGATGACCATACATACTTTGACAAACCTTTGAACCAGATTCATCTTTTCTTGTAATTTATGATACGATGTGGTTTTCACTAACGGGTGGCTATCTTGCTTCATCGTAAGTATTTAAGAATATTGACTACCATCTACCATAGTTTCTTAGTCACAAAGTAGGATGATTTCGTCACTTGTTACTCGTTACTTATTCGATGAAAATTTCAGCAGTTCACATTTTTATTTGTGAGAAATTTCAGGCTAGGCAGCTAAAGGTGTTACTACTTTCCTATTTGACTGTGAGGTTGACGTATTAAACATGCTTGGTAGAAAACATGGATCCGATTTATGCCCATATATATATATATATATATATATATATATATATATACCATACAGTTTGAAAGCATCACAATTTTCATCTTGACTGTATTGGACGTTCTGTACTTTATTCAGGGTACCAGATGTTTAGAGGTTGTTAGCATGAATAATTCACTGACTCAAAGTTTACTGTTTGTTGGCGGTTATCAACAATGCCCGCCAGCAAGCCTGAAAAGGTGTATGTTCACTCGAATGTGCATCTCTGTGCTCCAAAGTAAGAGGTTTTTTGCGACTGACTTAGTCGTACCGCTAATACCTTGTCTGTAACAAGACTAGATTATGCTCACAACTTGGCTGTCAGCAAGCCAGTGAGTACGTTAGACAATCATCGATTAAATGAAGCAAGAATTTCTATAACTAACAGGAAAATAAGAATTTGATACCAGGACGAATAGATGACGTTCGCAACACTGATTTTTCACATCATGCAACAATAAAATAACCAAGCAGTATATTTATGATCGATATGGTTGACTTTTCCCGTGAAATCATTGAATCGAGAAACGAGCCGGCTTTCAGTAGAGAAAAAAGACTACAGACTGTTATCCTTATCTTATATCTCATTTGTTGAATTTAGCATATTTGAATAATGCATAAATTCTATATAGATGTAGGCGGAGAGAGTAGATTTTTCAGATCTTTAGTTTCTTTATTGAGATAAATCCACTTGCGACTGAATCAGCACTTTATAAGCAACAATTGTAATGTCGATCAAGCAAAGCATGAGTAGCAAAAGTGGCTTATATGACTACTGCATTCGAAAATACCTTTGAATTAATGTTACATATCTAATGTACTCATAAAACAATTTTTTTGCGTTTCTGCAATGGTCATTGGTTTCTCCCCACACCAGTTCCCAAAGCGTTTTCGAATATCTAATGCCAGAATATTCAACTAAGTTCCCACTTTTATATAGCTAAAGAACTATAGATTTGTTTGGCTAATGAGACCTGAAATGGGTCGAAGTCACTGGTAGATTTTCGCTGATTTTTAAGCTGATCATGAGAATTATGATGGAATGCATCTCGAAACCTTTAACCTTTTCAACCGGCGTACAGTTTACCATTGTGTGACATATAATTTACTCGCGCATATGACGCTAAAAACGATTCGAGATTATCAGGTTTTGTCAATTATGTGCATTGACATAAGTGATTGAAATCTCTATCCCATAAAATTTGTCGAGAAAGGAAAGTGTGAAAATCTTTCTTGAATTCTTATTGGTTGATGAAACGTGACTAACTGATTGGCTAATATGGCCACATTTGTCAAATGGCACGTGTATGACACTTCGTTTCTGTGATTTAAGGCAACCAATAAAATTGCGACAAACAGTCTCTGAAAGCATTGACACGCGACGGTTCATGCTGCAAAACAAATTCCCTAACTATTGAAAGAAAAATGTGGTGGGGGGTTGGTACGAGTACACTATATAAAGAGGAGTTTATTCTGAAGTAATCAGGTCTCTGAAATTGCTTTGGACGCGATTGTATTTCAAATCAGATACAGCTGATATATCGGTGATTACTGCCCGTGTAATATTTTGCTTTATTTCCTTCTGTACATCAGGATTTTTAAAGTAACAAGTCAACCAAAAATTTCAAATGTCTGACAGTAAACATCAAGTTACAAAAGTTAAAAGAGCCTACAAAAGACGTGCCCAACCAGATTCAGATGAAAATTGTAGTCCGGGAAATTGGAATAAACCTATGAATGACTGGAATAATCAAGGAATACGTACACCACTTGGGGAGTTATCAAATAATTACATGACAACTCTTACACAAAATACCAATGTATTTGAAAGTTCAGTTAAACGAAAATCCAGAGAGCATTCTATATCATATGGGAATACAGATCCAATTAATATAACCAGACGTAATGAAAGAGAAAGAAATCGAGTTAAACTATTAAACATGGGATTTGATCGTCTTCGAGCTGTAGTTCCATGTCATTCTGGCGAACAGCTTAGTAAAATTTCCACCCTGAAGAAAGCCATCTGGTATATTGAGCACTTAGACAAAGTATTACACGGGCAGGAAAATTCAAGTTCGGATTTCATTAGCCAGTCAACATCAATGCCACCACCATCTGTATCCACCGATTCAGCTATACATCCGGACAGTTTGAAAGATCAAAGCAAGCCGATTATATTGCCATCTTTACCGACATCAGCTGGATTATTTGAAATCAATCGCAATGAAGCAAGATCAGGGACCTCCTGGTCATCTTTCGAGAAGGGTATGTCACCAATTAGGAACACATCTATTCAAGAAAGAAGACCAGTCAATCAACCATACCTGTCACCAATATTTCCTACTTACTGGGACCAGAATACTAACAGTAGTGTCATTAATACTTGTAACAGCTCAAAGGAAATGATATCGACACCAAAATTCACATCAACTCCGAATATTATGAATGCTATCAAACAAGTTGAAGCGACTGAAGTTAGCTTACCATCCTCCTCCTACTCCTCTAGTCTCTCGTCCTCAGGATACCGAAATGATTCTGGCTATGACAGTCCTGTATGTCGAATAAGACTTCTACCAGAGTTGAATCACAATCCATTGTCAAAATGGTATCAGTCACGTCCTAGTAACTACACCGCACCAACAAATGAATTTCCAGTAATAGCAAACCCAGTCTTCAATTCACCTGTGTCATCATCTGACAACCAACCAACAATATCGAAATTCACCTTATCCTATAATTTTCCTCATCTCCAATGGTTGCTGAATGATAATTATACTTATAAATCGAGTGGAATGTGAAAATCCATACAATTATTACAGATGGAGTGATACTGAAAAAGGCAAGTGTAACTTATTTGTAGGAATCTGTGTATAATTTTTTTTATTTTTCTAGTGTACACTCGTGTTTTTCTCCCTTAATCACCCTGTTTTTGATTTACTGTTCACATATTGTCTACAGTCACCCTCTTACTTCCTTTCCCTTTAATTTGTCTTTCAAGGTATATTAAGTAAAGAAGTTTTTTCAACAAACATTTTCACACCTTTTTATATAGTCTGGGATTTGTTTCTCCAGTTATTAGACAACTTATCTTCTATTTGTTTTTCTTTTCGTCGGTAAATTTAATTGATATATTTGTTAATACACTTTTATTTGTTTTCTCTTTCCGATTTACCACTTTTGAGCAAGTAGTGAGTTGTTACTAGGCTGGCCACGTGTCGAAACTCACGATAGTTTGTCTACTAGTGTGTGTGCATGGGTGTGGATGTCAATGTTATAGCCTTTAAGTAAAGATGTGGATAATACAATGCAGTGTCGAAATTTTTTTTAGAGAAATAGACAGTTGTTGATTTGATTGAAAATGCTTGCGATTTCGATCAAGATGTTTACGGTGATAGGAAGGTGTTTTCTCATTCACCAATTTCTGTCGATTAGACTAAGATTGTTTATTTACTGCGTTATTGTGAAAGTTTACTCGACCACTTGTTCGGGTTAGGGTTCATTCACTGAGGTGCCTTAAGACTCATTTATGACAATCCTAACTACAACTGAGTATTTTGAATATCTGCCTCTCCTCTATACCACTAAAGGGAATATGAGAAAAGCTGGATCTCAGCAAAAAACTAGTATTTAGGCGAGATCGAGATTTAATTCTGGTATTCATCTGTTACTGGTTTAATCGTGATTATTATCTGACTATATGTAACATCTATTCAGTATTGTATGGACTCCTGCAATCACGTAGGGAAAAGTGTTGAAACATACTAATTTTTCATTTGTTTCACTGACTAGTGGTATTTCCTATATGGGTTCCTGTATTGAACCAGACTTGGGAGTGTTGACAGATAATCCATATGTAGCATCATGCTCGTTAACACAAACTTGAAGTTACGGATGCTCACTTGAATATTCATACCCCTATCACTCATAGACTTAGTTGTGGTTGTTTGAGTCATCATTGACAGCCTGTGTGATGGTATCAGTTCACGGAATAAGCAGTAGGTGACAACGAATGTCATGTTCGGACTACAGTCACTATCTTTTCAATGCAACTATTTGCAGCTAGGAAGTAGTCATCAGCTTCTGCATCCAACAATATAAGTGTCCCCCCTCGTATACCTATCTATCTTAATCGCACTAAAAAAGACCATACTGAAACTCACTGGTAGCATAGTTGATGATTAGTAGAAACGGTTGGGTCATCTTCCATATTCTGCATCACTGGTAGTGATTTATATCAAATTTTCACGGGAACCATCTCCAAACTAAACTGTCTGACAAATTATTGAGTACTGAGCTAATCAAACATATAAATCTTGTTGATTAAAACAAAAGGCAGGTGGATTTATTCATGTACTCATGATACGGGCATCAGTAATGATATTGGCCATTAGGAAAATGGAGTTCAGATGTATTCACAAATTTCCGTCGAAGTCTGTCGATTTTACTAGTGATAAATGCTTAATCCGATAAGTTTTTATTAGCGTTGACACAGTAATAAATACTGATTACGTCATATATGAAGAGGACATATTTTATATGTCTGATTACCATCTGTGGCATTAATTTATTTGATTTTTGATTAGCTAAAAAAATTTTCGCATCACAATTACAAAGGCTTTCTTTTCGGCTCGGATCTCAGTATCTCATCTTAATTTAAGATCTATCAGAACTGTATTCACAATCTCCTCATAACTAGAGATCCCAACTTAGCTGTTGTGACAGTTATATTGCTTCTGAATTCATTTTCTTACAACATAAATGCTGCTCTAGTAATAATACCTTTGTGCACTGTACTCGGTTACAACGCAAATAATATTGATGTCACCCAAAGATAAATGACATCATATCATCAACCTGAGAGGTCCTCTAGGGTTCAACTAGAAACCAATATTCTGTTCTAAATACCTTAGTAGACCGTCCACTTGAGAATCAAATGTGAATGTGCAAAGAATTGTTATTAGTTGACCGGTTAATTATCGAAGCAGTCTCCAGATAACCGGTAGCTTCAGCCTAGCTGCAAGACGATTCATCTGTCTGCACAATCATGCATATTATTTCATATGTTGAATAATCTCTTTAAATATTCTGCCATATCTTGGAGTTTATGGATGTACTAACTCTTATTTTGTTTCATATTATTTACAGATGTAGAAGCAAACTTATTGGATGTCTGTGAAATCATTCAGGAATCAAAGGAATTATCGGAATACATTTCTGGATAATAAGGGGAAGTGACAATCAGAAAAATTATTAATTACTGAGGGATTGTACAAGGTCGACCCTAGAATACATGTTGTCCCTAGGATATTTCCTCTAAAAGGTGCTGAACTCTCATGAGCTTTTCCTGAAGCAAATCAGGATAACTGGTATCATTTTATCTAGTACACAAGCAAATGATACCTATAAAGAGGAGCTGAACAGATTCGACAGTTTTCTTCATGCACTTAACTTATACTCCTTGTTTGACAACTATTAAAAGACGTTTAATCAATTTAATGTGTGTTGATGAAAATATTTTTAAAGAAATACACATATTTTATATATTTTTAAATTATCTTTAGTTTACTTTTATTTTAACACTTGTCAGCAACTTCTGTTTACTTTGGCAAATAAATAAACATAGACGAGGTCCTAAGTGAATGAAGAATTGTTCTGTTTTCTTTCATACAATTGGTTAGGTGAACACTTTTGATCAGTCAGTTGAGAGTATTAGGGACATTAAACCGAACAAACCACTGGACGCTGTTAAAAGCCTCGTGGAGAGTGGTGGGCATTCCAGTTAGAAGTAGAAGAAGAAGGAGAAGGAAAACATATTAGAGACTGTTTAGTGGATATACATTGCTCACTTCACTTACTCATTTATTTTCGCTGTTATTTCTCTTGTGTGTACCATGCAGAGAAAACTGCGGTGTCTATCAGCTTCAGGTAATGCAATTTTCTGTTTCAGAATGGTCAGTCAGTTAGTTTTTTCTGTAAGCTGGTCACAGTCTGCCGAAGTTGAATTTCAAGATTTATCCACTGCAAAGACCTTTCGTCAAAGGGTTGTTAGGCTTTAGATTAACAAAGTTGGTCGCTAATATTGGAGAGCTGTGAAGGAATTATTATAAGATTATATTAGGAATTTAGGTATCGTGATCTACAGGATGCTCATACTGTTGACTGGCGAAGTTAATTAATGTTATTACTAATCATGTTAAACCATAAATATGTGGGTTATTTAGCCATGCAATCGACAGTTAGATCACTGTGGGATTGAAGTTACATTAAATACCTCAGTTTTAGGTGTATATACTTGTTTTTATCTCTTCTGTATTATTAGGACTAAGCTTTCAGAAATGTGAACTGACTCAATCAATGTACTACCAAAGTTTCTTCCAGCTTTAATAACTCACATTTCACAACCAAGGTCATTCAGTCAGTTTAAAGAATTCGTGTGTAGTCATTGGTCATACTTCCCCTCTCACAAATGGTTCATCGGTTCAATCTGAGTATAATCTGGACTGAAAAGAGGGTACTTGTAAAGCATATCGATCTCTCCAATATGTGGAGTAATTAATCCGCATAATAGTTATAGAAATAGGCGGAAACAGTTTTTCCTCATTCATTTTAAGTCATATGAAGACTAGAAAAATCAAAAACCTAGGGAAAATGTAGCTCTGTGGATCATAAAAATGCACAAATTCACGCCGTTAAATTCAGTCAGATATGCTACAACGTTTCCTGTGGTTTTAGTTTAAAATGTGTGTCGAGGCAGCTAGACGGGACCACATTCTCACATAAGTTAACAAAATCTTAAGGAAGTTACAGTTCGTTGTGGGAAAATTTGTTGAGTAAGGTCATTGGTGGGTGCGATTCGCAGTAAATACAGTAACAGAATTTATTTCTCCAGTGAAGAAGAGTGTTATGCAGGATGTGCTTATAAACCATGGTTAACAATCATCCACTAGAGATAAAATCATCAATATTCATCTTGGTGATTAGCAGTGGAATCCAAGACACGCGTTTCCTCCTATTTGGGACCCCAGTCAGTGCTGTTGCTCCCATTGAGACTTGAACCCAGTACCTATCGATTCAAACGCTAAAGCGTTAGCCACTGGGCATGATAGCCCCCAGTTGTGCAATGGGTATCGGTTTTTGTTGTAAGGATACTTGTAATTTCCCTTTGCTATACAGGGCCGAATTAGTTGACCTCTGTTAGCAGATAAAGACATTGTTTATGAAATATTTCGTTGACTGGGATCTAACTGAAAGTAACTTTTATCTCAAGATAACTTGTCGTTGTTGAGAAGAATCACTGAGATTCAGTGGTCGTAAAAAACTATGCATTATATATGGTGAAACAGCATCACCTGAAAACACATTATAAACTAAGGAAGGGATGGTTTTGGAATTTAACTTTATCTATTTCTGCCACTCTCTGATATGAAATTTATGATCAAGTTTTCTGGTCGACAGTCCATTATCGAATCATTCATCCTGCACTAAGCAGTAAAAATTAATTCATTTTGTGATTATTCATTATAGGCGTTCGTGAGTCATCACCTTTAAGTATGAGTTAGCGACTCAGGGTAATCGGCTAACCATAATCCAATTCAGTGATGTCATTAGTGAATAGCTCTGAGATGGGTTCTACAAAGTTCCAATGTGAATTTTTGATCTATGGCTTCAACTTAAACACATTTAGAGGCCAATACACACTTGCTTACTGACAAGTATTTACTGATTTATGTTAGTAGCACGAAGGGATATGAAACTATGCTTAGAATCACAAACATTTGAGATAAGCTAAAAGTACTTT